ATAAGCCCCCCTTGTACTGCTAGGAGATAATCCAATACTAGTCTGGCACTTTTCCACTGACATACAGGAACCAAGCCATACCTGAGCCATGCCGTGAAGAGACTAGTTACAGCGCGGTTCCGGCTCACTTCGGATTTCCACTGCAGAAGGTTCGACTCGATCAAGGCGTTGTTGGGTTTGGAGAGCAACAGTAACCAAAAAACCAAAGGGGCGTATATATACTGTCCACATGGTGTACATCATGATTTACTATGTGCTAGCAAGTCTGTGAGAATTGCCATCTTATGTTAGCACCAAGCGCTACTGGAATTAGCATTCGCTTGTGTGAATTAGCATTACAGATCCATTCTGTACAGCGGTTCTATAGTACTTTTTTAAGTAGATGGCTGGAAATTTTCAAGTTCTGAGTTTCGGGAATGGACCAGTACATCACGACGTGTGATACTGCTAATAATGAATGATATATAGGATATACCCTTTTTCCTTCAGATAATTCACAGACATCGACGATTTCGACCAATCAAACGGTGGTGACATAACCACCTCGACCAATCAGACAGCGGTGACACAACCTCCTCGGGTTTGTCACGCTTTCGGCCCTGCTTACAGGGCCATCTCCATGACACAGGCAGATACGGGTCAGCGCTTCTCCTGCTGACACGGCAGGTGCTGTTTACAGCTCGTGAAATTATCATATGGCCTTTAGGTCGCTTCTAAAGATTATCACCAACCTGACAGGAGGACAGGTTAAGCAGAGGAACACGGAATTCCCCATTAGCTGATATGTTGTTACTGAAAATACTATATCCTAATACAAGCTAAAATGTGTCACAGGTAAGAATGCCATGAAATCAGCTCACAACGGGGGCATTCTGGACTATTCCTCCTGAAGCTCAGCCAGACCCAGGACACACTGGAGGGATTATATCTTGCAGCTGGCTTGACAACATCTGGGGATCTCCCAGATCAAGCTGCAGTCTGCAGCCCCGGAGAGGGAGAGATTTCATAGCGCAGATTAGCAGGGATCTTACGGTGACCGTGCCGTGTAGTCAGCACAAAACCTGACAAAACATTTCCAGCTCCAACACGTTACTTTTTGTTCACAAACTACCTAGATTCGCTATTAACTAAATGTATGTCTGTTAAGATAAACTATGTAAAGCTCATTTCATCTCTGTATTGACTGGTTAAGTTGTGAGTTGCTGAAGGTGCATTTATTTTGCCTAAGGTGCTGGTCCAGCCATATCTGTCTATTCTCACATTATCACATCGTATCGCCTGCATCAGTATTATGAACAGCAAAAACCTGTTATTTTGACGGTGTGAGTGTTGGCAGAAATGAAAAATGTGCTCTCAATTATCAACTGGACATATGTAAATGAGTCTGTGTTGATGACCGAAGGGAGGCAACTGTGAGCTAAGACGACGTTGAAAAGTGTTAATAAAGCTTTGTTTTTGAAGGTAAAAGAGACAGGAGTTTCCCGTGTGTGTGCGTCAGTCCTCCATAAAAGTTTACATATTCGGTCTATTATACATTTTTACGCCCCATAACTGCTGTGGCATGTATTTCTGCTAACAGTGGGGAAACTCGAACTATAAAAATCTGTGACTGCAATCAGGAAACTAAAAATGTCAGAAGTCTCATATTCTGTTTGGTTGCTGATGGTTATGGTTAGGGCTGGGTAGGGGTTCAGGTCGTCATAGTTGGGATTAGAGTTTTCCCCATAGAAATGAATGGAAAGTCATCACAAAGATATGAGCACAAACGTGTGTGTGTGTGTTTGCCATATGATGGGCTGCCATCCAGGCACGTGTGTGTGTGTGTGTTTTGTACTGAATGCCCCCCCCCCTTTAACCTTTCAGCTCCTGCCCCTCCGAAAGCCAGGCACAGCCCCGCTGCCTCCCCCCTCTTACTTCTTTCTGCTGTGTGCTTCCTGTGACACGCTAGGTTCCCCTTACTTTGTCCTGGATAAGTGAGTGTCCCATACACGGTGTAACATCTAACTAAAGCAGAAAATATTAACATTCAAAATGCACGATACCATATTAAATCGAAAAATATCTACAGAAATTCTGCCTTATTTTTATATATGCATTTCGTGAAGGTATTCTGTTGTTTTCACAGCCTTCGGTATCAAGCCGACATTATGGACTTGACAAGTGTCTCGGAATGAAAACCTAATTAGCCACATCAGAGCCCCCGACCCGGACCTCCAGGATAAGGCGCTACTAGCAGACAGAAAGACCCCATTGGTCACTGGCTAATGAGAAAAACGCCCGGGGGCCATCCGCATTCATTCGCGTCACTATACCAACAAGTCCCCCCGATCGGAGGACTTACGCACTCACTGAATGATGAGAACTGTTGCTTATAGCTTGGACGAAATACACGTGAATCACATTAACGAACGGATAATTACTTAAACTACATAAGTGATCAACGGTATCTGAAACAAGGCAAACATACCTTTTTTTCTAAAATAATAAAAACCTGCATAATTGTTTACAAACCCGCTGCGAGTATGAAACATAGCAATGTGTTATTTAGCTTGCAATGGCTCAGAGGCCAAATGACTACTGTTGTTAGCTGTTGATAGCTACGGGTGATACAAAAGAACTTGAGTAAAGTCTATTGGTTGTTCCGACTTTCAGCGCCATAAGTTGAAACGTCATGTGCCAAATGGGTTAAAGTCTATCCTGATAGTTTATACATCGAAATATAACGTGACAAGAGAATTGCCCGTATATATAACTGATTCTGTTTAGTATATTTCGGCATATCAAAGGTATGGAGAACAGACGTTGTCGTCCTATGTAGCCCTACAGAAGGCAAAATACATCGAATTATGGCAAGTTGCAAAAGCATTTTCACGTTTGCTGCTTGGAAGACTCGATCGGCCCTTTGAAGAAACAGTTCATAATTGTTAACATGATGTATCCACAGCAAAAACAGGCAACCCATATGAAATGCATGCGGATTTTAATTATTTCCTATAACAACTATGAAAATTAATATAAATTAATGCATTTGTTTTACAAATACGTAAAACAAAAAGGGTCTGTTTATAATAAATACTTTTTATACCCTAGTTTTTTTTAACTAAAATGTCTTCACAAATAAAGTATTTTTACATGTCCTTTTTTGAATAACTAAATATTGCGCTAAACCATGCTGCCTGATTGAATATTTCGGACAGGCAGAATTCGGGGTCTGAATAATTATGCCTACAGTTTTTACATAGGCTACTTCAGCTATTTTGTACCTTACAATACATCAAAACTAAATGCGGGCTTTGACGTTTCCCATGTTAAGTATAATAAACCCAACTTTCATGATTACTGTTTCTAGAAATGCGCGTTACAAAACACCACAGCCTCGGGCTGGAGCGCGGTGGGTGTGCGCGCGGGGAGCCGCCGCTGTAATGTAATACCCCAATTTATGGCTGCCGCGTGCGCGCGCCTCCTCACCTCTCGAGAACGGCGCTGTGGCCAGTCCGCGACCCGGGCTGCCAGCGGGGATTTACCGACTGGCTCGGCGCCCGACCGCAAGCAGTTTAGTTCGCCGGGTTCTCACGACCTCAGCGCCACACAAGCGTCTCTGAAATATTAACACAGACACGCAGCACACGAGGAGCAGCCGCACAGCCAGCACGCCGCCGGCTGGTGTGCAAAGGCAAGCCGCGTAATATCGCCTGTTTGAGCAGAAGAGAAACGCTCTTCGTTGTAATTTCCAGGGCAACTTACAGTTTAGACAGGACGGCGAGTAGAAATGGAAAAGTCAAACAAAAACTAGGAACAGACACGAAGATAGCCATGTGTAACTTAGCTATACAAGTAGCTAAATTCTACATATATCATAAAAAAAGATCATAAAAATAAGGGAAATTTAAAAATAAAGGAACCATTTCATTTTCCTACACAGCAACATAATAGAATAGGTTTTTAGAATTATACAATCACACGGGCACGTTCACTTAAACATAATTATGTAAAATAAACAGACCCCCATCCAGCTATAGTTAGACCTATTACTTTTTTAACACCGTTTTGACGATAACAACGAAATTTTTGGTAAACATGCACATTTGAAGCGATAGAACCTAATTAAATCATGATATATAAATATATACATACCATAATTAATATTTATGCCTATAATTTATAAAGACGTAATTTCTTGAGGAATGCGTAACACAGGTAAGCTTTTTAATGTATTTTTTATGTTCTTTGATGCCCTACACACTCAGCTGACTGAATGAAATCCAAGCTTGGAGTCGGAGTGAGTCGGCGGCTGCCAGCGGCCGGCACACGGCGAGCGTCAGGCGGCCAAGCCCAGCAACATGAGCCCTGGCTCCGCACGCCTGGGAAAGATAAGCTTACACCCTGGAGATAATAAATCTGTGTGCGTCTGATTGTGACATGTGAAAGTGAGCGTTTGATGGTGGGGGTTATTTAAGAGTCTTCCTTGTATTTATTGGAAATTCATGGTCAATTTTAGTCATTTCGCCTTTTAAAATTAACTGTATAACAGCATTAATGGTTTTTATTTGTAATTTAAGTATTTCTCATGTGCATCGCACTGCTGCAGTGGATTTTGTTTAGTGGGCTAATTATTCTCTCTCACAATCGTATTAAACGGATCAATAGGTTCAGGAGATAACTATTATACGGTAGTTTTGTTGAGCCATGAAGGTCGCAGCCTGTATATAAAATAAAATCATTTTTGATTCGTCGTAGGGGCGTCGGTCGTTAAGTGCATTGCCTCTTAATTTAATTGGAGATATTACACAGAAAACTTTTCAAACACATATGTGTAAAATCTGAAGTCGGCTAGCGTTACTGAAAATCGTACAGCACTATTCCCTTCATTGTACAGTAATCAGTTTAATCGTTATGAAATAAAAGCATTATCAAGAAGAAAATGGTCTTAATCCTAACCGCAATGACAGTGATGAGGCACAGCAATATTGTCATATAACAAAGATTTTATTCCACCCCCCCCCCCCCCCCCAAAAAAAAAAAAAGTTTTTAACACAAACTAAGCAATATTAAACACAGCTTTGGCATTTGACATACGACATGTTTTTATAAAACTATATTTTTCCATAAAAAAACGTTTTCCTATTAACATTGTACTAAGCATGAACATATCTATCACCAGCATCCCAAAGTGTGGAATCAGCAAATAAATATTGTTCAGATACAGTTCAGGAGGAGTATTCCTTAAAACGGAAACATTCCTCGTAATTTCTCAGGTGTTTCTCCCCCCAGGCCTTCGCCGATTCTCTCTACCAGGGCCGCCAGACAGACTCGCTGCTGTCCGACTCCACACTAACACCCCCGGAGCTGACGGGCTTCGAAACGCCGGAGAAGGACGTCATGCCCTGGACCGGGGACGCCACTGCGGGTCCGGAACCGGGATGCACCGGACTGCCGTTAACGGTAACCGGCACGTTCGTGTTAGCGTACAGCGGGATAACCGGAGTCGAGGCAGCCGGGAAAGATGGGCTAGGGATGAGAAAGGCGAACTGTCCGTCGGTTGCAGGTACGAGGTGGAAACCTCCGTAAACTTTCGGTGAGGCGGCCTCGGCCGGGCTTAATTTGCAGGGCACGGATACGCCGCTGATGGGCACAGTGGCGGCGGGGGGTAACTGCACGTGCAGAGGCTGAGGAGGCAGGTGGGGCTGCTGCTGGGCCGCCTGTGGGTAGCTGACGGCCATCATTTGTCCCATGCAACCCGACAGGTGGCTGAGAAGCCTGGATCGGACCTCCGTGTTTACTCCTTCGCATGTGGACAAGAAGCGAGTCACTTCATTCATGCATTCGTTGAATCCCGCTCGGTATTTACTGAGAACGGCTGTATCTGATGCCAAAGCACCTAGGAGGGAGGTAAGAGAATCGAGTGAGTTTTCAAAATTTGGGATCAACGAACCAAATAAATATGATACACATAATGATACACATATCCATTAATATATATTTATTATAAATTATTATACATAGCAATCGATACCTACCGGTCATCTGGGCCCGTTGCAGGTTCCGCAAGTGCTTCACCGTCATCTCCAAAATATCTGCTTTCTCTAACTTCGAATGTCTTGAGCTCTGCGGAAAAATGTAAGCAGTGTAAATACGGGTAGATTACACCAGCAGTATTTCATCAACAGTGCCCAATTCTTTGCTGTGATAAATGCATTTATAAACAATCACTTACGTCTTTTTTAAGGGCATCAAGAATAAGGGTTTTAAGCTGACCGAGGCTTTCATTTATTCTCGCTCTGCGACGTTTCTCCATAATGGGCTTGGAGGACTGCAAAAATAACATAAATAAGAACAAATAAATAAAACAATACATAAAGGGTGATACACTTGGTTACTTCCATTACTGTGCTGGAATATATTATGATATGTAAACGACAACAAATGTATTACTATATAAAAATTCTGCGGATCAAATACAATAATGAAATTCAAACATTAAGTATAATTACAATGGCTATATTTCTTCAGCGTCAAATTGTGGGATATTTACCTTTCTGTGCTCACTGGCATTTTTGGGTTTATCCGGAGTGTGAGACCCACTTGCTGGTGCCCCAGCTGCTGGAGATGCTGTGGGTTTTTCCATCATGTTATCAGTAGGCATTTTAATTGCAATAAATTTTCTTGATGTGCAAGTTGGTGTATCCTTTTCTGATGTGTCGAATCACAGGACTAAACAGTATCCCTTGAGTCTGACAACAGCAAGACGTCGAGAGAAGTTTGGCTCTATGATCCTATGACTTACAGCCACAGTGAAGCGTGCATGTCCCACCGATCACGTCTTTTGCGCTGATCCAAACGTACGTATCATTAGACTGCCTTGCGCAAGTCTGCTCTTAAAAGTGCCACACGCCCGTGATATTTATATCTGGCGTGCCTGCTCCCAGTTCGTGTGAAACCTTCTCTGCATTCTTTCCCACACTCATTGCAGCCAATAGGCGCGTGGACTCACCCTTTGGGCGCGGGGCAGACAGCTGATTGGACGGCATGCCGCGCTGTCTGTCACGCGCTGCTCAATCAGCCCCCAAGGAACAGAGAACAAAGTAGCCGGCGCAGTTGGTCAGGTGGTGAAGCAGTACGGGGAATTGGGGGAGTGCGGTGGCTGTTCCCTAATGACTTTATTTCTGGTTAATAAGGTACTCTGTGCGCACTTTTTTGTGTTCGATTTCACGTTAGATGTGAGAGTTTATAAACCAAAACAAGAGACGTTCCAAAAATGCCATTTCTAATAAACGTCACATTAATGTATTGCCTACTAAACTTTCTCTTGGAAAATAAAAAATTACGGGTGTTTTAATGCATTATACCCACTATTTTTAAAGGAACTGACTCTAGGGTAAAACTGGGTCAAACGTTTAAAACATTCCACTTCAAAGGAATAATAGATGTTTCGGCACGCGAGGCGGTTTTGCAGCGGCACGCAGCAAGCCAATGGCAGTCGAGCACTATATGCTAATTTTCCGATGTGCTTTATGATTGGCTGAGTAAACCTCGAGCTGTCAATCATCCCAGGGAGAGCGGGAGAGAAGGGAGGGTGGGGGAAGTTAGAATAACATCTGTCCGCGTGCCAGCCCCACTGCGAGCGACCGCGCCGCGCCTTCCGTCCTCTGTGGAGCACGTGCCAAGGGAGTGTTCATTGGCTGCAGCGGGAACTATAGAAAAGCTCGTTTGCGGGAATCCGGCTTCTCTCGCTTGAAGCCTGGGAAAACCACTCCTCCAGCCAACAGTAGCGCACTACAAATCTTGTTTTGTATACACTTCGTCAACGTCGTGTAAGCATTATTGGTGTAAACAGAGCTGATTAAATCGCATTTGTCTGGAACACATTTTCTTGCTACCAGTGTAAAATGGTTAGGCAGTGACACTTAGTTTGTTGGGCTGGCATCAGGAACTGGGGTTGTGTCTAACTACAGCAGACTCGTGGCGGACGTGCTGAGCCGTACAGCCTCCAATTAAGGCCGGTTTTTACTATGACTGAGTCATGCCAAGAGCAAAACTCGAAGCCAAATAACTTGGAGAAAATATTTAGGCAATCATTGCGTCCGAGTTAAGTTTTACCCCAACCGCATTTACATGAACATTTACAGGTAAACACAAGTGTCACTACGATAATGGAGGGAAATTTGCAGCTCTGAAATGTGAAATTTTACACATTTTTTTTCTAATAATTTTAATACGTACACAGAGCATCATTGTACACTATTTTAATTTTCTTGTGCAAAACTAATCATTTAAACAGAGCTTATGTTAAATAACTTAAAATAAATTAAACTATAGACATATAACGATAAATTATATCCATTATAAAATACTAATTGACAGTATTCTATTTTGCTATGTAAATATCTCTAGATAGATAGATAGATAGATGGATGGATGGATGGATGTGTCGTGAATGGTGGCCGTATTTTCCCCATTTGAGGGTAGCGGGTTCCCTCTAGCGGGAAACCAAAGCGCAACAAGACCCTTTACCATTCAGCTTCAAATTCGTTATTTCCCTCTCTCAATAATGTTGCCATATTTTTCATATAGGCCTAGTATCTTGCACGGGCCAAAACAGAAACTAATCTATGCATTTCAATGTAACATCTGTTTTAAAGCCCTAATCTTAAAAATTATTTCTGATTTTTTTTTATCTTTCTTCTGCTTACATTGCGTTATAATTATCACACGCCACAGATACAATCATAACACACCATTATACATTTAAGAAATATATTTAGTTGCAAGTGGTCTGTTGTAATGAAGGAGAACTTTTTCCCCTTCGCTTTTTCCCTTCGAATGCGCAGTGTTTCCGCCAGGAGGCGCAAGGCGTAGCAACGAAAATGCGGGGTCTCATCAATCGGTGATGCAAAAAATAACAAAGGAAAAACTTGCACGATTAAAAATAGCATTATTGATACATAAAATACGCTATCGTTAAATACATAAAAGTCGTAAAAGAAATTAAAAACGTAAAAAGTGTTGAAGGTTGTGACATCACAATTGCAATGTTACCCTCACGGATTGCCCACTTGTCTTTACACGTACGAACGTGTCCATGGTAAGACTTCTCTGTCGGTGGTATAATGTTTTGATTTGAGGAAAAAAGCTCGTCCTATCTAGGCTTGGTTTTTAAATACCACGTGTTAGAAGAATTGCATTTTAATCAAAATGTTCGTCAGGATTCGCCCCGGTGTTGAGCCCTGGGTGCACTAACTATAATACTGTTAAACATGTAAAAAGTAGACTTAAATTGTACTACTGCACGAACTGTTGCTTATGGGTAACTTGGATGTGGGGAATGGACACGTGTTAGAAGCATCTGCATGACACTGGTGACCGAGGCTAAACCAAAATCTTTGGTTATGCAATATGTCCCATTTATAGTTTTTTAAAATAAAACTAGAAAATCTAAGTGCAACAGCATCTGTTTTATTTTGAAGCGTTTGTAAATAATGTACAGTGTCTAAGTGAGTTCTTGGCATCACAAACTATGTTTCAATAAGGTATTTGTCCGATCTCTTCTGTAGAACCCTAAGTAACATGCTGTTTTCACCTTCTGTCCTTAGAAAGATAATAATTTGTCTTTAGACCAGTTACTCATCTTTGGTTGGTAAGGCGCCTGCTGAAGAGCTGTTAAGCACAGTGCAGTTTCAGCAATGTCTCCATGATGTGGGGGGGGGGGGGGCTTTTTTGGTTTGAGGCTTACCCCCCACTGGGTCAAGTACCCCTGCCCCTCTTTCTGCGG